GACTCTAACCGCTAGGCTACCTGCCGCCCTTAGACATACATGGTTTAGACCTACGCCTTTGCTAGTGGTTTTTCTAAATAAATTAGGAAAGGGAAAACTGCAAAGTAAGGAGAAACTTTCATTTAGTGAAGCTTCACATTTATTCTTCACAAACTGTACATTGAATTCATTCCCACCCCTCACATTTCCCATATTGTGTGCGCTGATCAAGAAGGGTGCAATTGCAGACCGCAATTAGAGGTGTTTTCTGATATAGGTGTTTCTTGATATCAAGTTACACCCATTGATGCTCGCCATAGGTCCGTGGCCATTTCTTTCACGTCGGGGACAACAGTTGCTGACAACTGTAGCATTGTAGCTAACCCTAACCCTTTTCCTAACCTTAACCTCAGTCTACTAACCTGCCACGCTAATTCACCTAACCTGCCACGCTAAACCGCCTAACCTGCTACGTTGATTATCCTAACCTGCCATGTTAGTTATCCTAACCTGCTATGTAAACAAATAACGTGTGTCGAGAAACCATCAATCTCACAACACCGGAACTGACCAATGGCAGGTATCAATGGCCGTTTCCTGATATTAGGGAACTCCTACATCAAGTAATGCCCCGAATTGCAGTTTGCAATTGCACCATATTCAGCTGATCAACAGAAAGGCTTGAAACACTATGGCATAAAGAACAGACATCAATCACAGTTGACAGCCAGCCTAACTCCCTGTCACGCTGTTTCACATTAGTTTGCCCAACCTCGCCTCTAGTCTAATTTACTCTCTGGTACTATGAACCAGATCCAGATTACATCTAACTACTGACTACCTCCCTGTCTAGCCCAAGGTTAACTTACCCCTCTCCTGTCTCCAGTCCCTCCTTCCTTCTGCGTTTCTTGCCTCTCGCTGTGTATGTCATATGTCATTTAACAGAATATTTTATCCAAAGCTACTTACAGTAGCATGCATACATTATTGTATATGTAGCCCCAGTGGTAAACAAACCCATCTTAGCCACACAGGACGACATGAATGTATGATAACTGGAACTTGCCGTTCCTCAGCATCACCCTGCATCTGAAGATCTCCTGTCCCTCGTCCCCGACGGTCCCTATGGCCCATGGCCGTGGCATGGCCTTCCCTGTGCCCCAGGTGAAGATCGAGATGGAGTCGGACTAAGACACGGACACTGATCACCCCCGCCACAGGGACTTGAGCAGCAAAACAACGCTTAAGGCGAATGACAGACAAAGTTGTCACCTGTAGGCACTGACTGCTGTGTGACCGAGCACAGGCATACAATGGTCCACCGCGGACTCTGTACAGTACATAGCCATAAAATGCTGACCCACTCACACACTAAGACTCTTCTAGAATGCCTGCAGAGGACAATACAAGGTGGCATGGACTAACAGCTGACAGCATATGACACCTAATATAAATAAACTGTGAATACAACATGTACATGGAATAACTTAGCTCAAATGTACAGTACATTTTTACTTGATCTGATTCTTCACATAGCTGTCAATTTCAATGTGTCCAAAATCCCAGTAACAGCTTCTGCTTTTAAACTAGGAGGCTCTTTGCTGAACTGTCATGGATATCTCTGTAAAGAACATGTTGACTGTATAATTTTCAGGACATGCTTAAGTTTAGAAACACAATGGAGGGATATAGGAGAAAGGGGAGTGAAGGATCTCGTCTGTATGTGCTGTATATGAGAATATTTTGTGTCAAGATATTTCTATTTATATAAATTATAAAAGGATATAGTATGTATTTTTCACTGTTCATATAGAGAGATATATAGTAAGTATGAAGTATGAGGTCCAGAATAACTTTAAGTGCAATCCAGAATTTCAATGTCAGTAAAAATGGCCTGCCTTTTCATGTGATAAATGAGTTCTTGAATATCCTTCTTCAGCAAATAATTGTATTTTGGTGTGTGTGTGTGTGTGTGTGTTGTTAGGTTGTATGGTGCCTCTTCTTGTAGCAAACGACCGTTCCTATTTCCTCTTGTGTTTTCAAGCCACTGGAGAAAAAAAGAAACAACCAAAACATGTGAATAGCCTACTAGACTGAATACTGTTTTTTTTTAGTGCTGAAAATGAATGATTTGTTAGTAACATGGTTGAATACAGCGTTTTGCAATCATGCTATTATTCCCTACTGCAGGGGTCATCAATTAGTTTCAGCTGCGGGACAACTTTTTCTTGAGTGGATAGTGGGGGGGCCGGAACATAATTATAAATCATTTGTACTCTGCAAATTGAAGCAAGAAGCCCAAACCAGGGTTCATACACATTTTGACAGATGGAATTTCATGACTTTTCTAGGACTTCTCAATTACTTTTAAACACATTTGCATGACCAACAATTGGTGGTGTCTCTATGTACAAAAAATGTATGCATAAATGTGGTATCGACACTGGGAGGCTGCTCTCTGATCCCATCTGATCTCCTGTCGTTGTGCAAGGCACTTACCCCCCCCCCCCCCCCCCCCCACCCACCAAGTAGAATACCTGTTAGGTAACTGTATAAAACATGTGTTCAATCCTCAGTCTGGAGAGCTAATGTGTGTGCAGGCTTTTGATCAAGCCCTGCTCAAACACATCAGAGTCAGTTTATCAAGGTCTGGTGGAGAAGCTCATGTCTAAAATGTGGTTTGTTAGAGGGGGACTGGAACAAAAGCCTGCACACACAGTAGCTCTCCTGGAAGATGGTTGACTACCCTTGATGTAAAACATTGCAACTTTACAACCAAATATGTTTTATGCCTTAATAAAATAATTAATTAATTAAATATATCAAAGATCAAATGACTATGATAGGCTACAAATATTTGTATTCAGCTGAAGCAAGCACACATATTTCTTCAGGAAATGTACTTTTTTAGTTTAGTCATATTTATTTTAGCTAGGCCTACCTCAGAAGTGTTTACTTTGCAGACTGACAAGCATCTATTGAGTTGCAATGTCCCATACATTTGATGCCCAAATCAACTGGAAGTATCTACAAAAACAAGTTTTGCAGCCACATAATCCAAAATATTTTTTCCTAAAATTAGTGTTCGTGATTCACAAATGATTATTTTGATTCACATGACTCGATTCACAACGATTGAACAGAATCCCAACTATTACAATGGTGAATTAGTGAATCGTTCATTTCATCAAAAATAATCGTTTCAATTACTCATTTGTATGGCACTTTGTATGGCTTTTTCCGCTATCCTGGCTGATGTTTTATATATATATATATATATAATTGATAAAATATTTTTAAATGGCCTAAATAAAGTACCTTTCCATGACTTTTCCCATACTTTTCAGATTTGATCATTTTCCAAACTTTTCCAGGCCTGGAAAACACAATATTTAAATTCCATGACTTTTTCTGGATTTTCATGATGTACGAACCCTTGCCAAGCAAAAATTGTATTTGACAAAAACATAATCATTTCAAACCTTGATTACATTGGTACATGATCATATATATTTCTGTTTATGAGTGGAAATACATGGGAATAGATTTACTAAATTAAAATAATTTTTGTATTTTATGTTCAAAAAATTATTTGTAATAATAATTTGGCCCGCGGTACGCCAGTTGACGATCCCTGCCCTACTGTGTGTAAATGACTGTGGACACTTACTGAGCAGACACCTAACAATAACCCAAAGACGATGTACAAACTGTATTCTTGTGATATTTGCTGTGTTGTTAAATGTTGATCCTTTCAATATGATTGATTTTACCAACATATAAACGCCTGTGCATTATAAAAAAAGTTTGTATGCATTATTACAGATTTAGTAAGACCATAACTACAGTTATGTATTTATTATTATACTGAAGAAAATTATATGGAAAAGAAAATGCCATGGAAACCAATTTTTTAATTCGGTATATGGGAATTTAACCTCAAACTGTATTTTTATGTGCACTACATATTTACACACAGACTTTTATCTGCAACAAGTCAATTTGATGGAAACACAAGTCTGATGGGAAAATTCTCCAGGGTTTCCCTTAGCTGGTAATTGCTGGCATTTGGCTGATAAAAAAATAAAAAGCTAATAAATTAAATTGAAGCCAAATTGTCCAGGAGAGGTTGTCTATCATAGCCGGCACCCCAGATTTGCGCTTCAGCACCATTCTCTCACGCCTTGCGGGCACATGCGCCTGCTGCTGAGGAGAGAGAGAGCGAGAGAGGAGCCTTGGCCTAGTCCACTGTTGATTGTGAAGATGGAGGCCTTTTTCATTGAAGTAAAACAAAAGTTATAGGAAAAAGAGTATGCCTTTAGTGAAAAGCCTACAAGGGGAATGTAATATAAGTTTCAATATTGTAGTGGACTAAGATGAGAAGAATGTAGGCTACTGTACAACTCCTTATTTAGGTAGGATGCAATTTTGGAACTTACATTTATTTATAATAATTAGTTTTTATAATTTGTATTATTATTATTGTATATCATTGTTATTATTGTAAGCTTATTTACTGAACAAAAATATAAACGCAACATGCAACAATTTCAATTTTACTGAGTTACAGTTCATATAAGGAAATCAGTCAATTCAAATAAATTCATTAGGCCCTAATCTATGGATTTCACATGACTGGGCAGGGGCGCAGCCATGGGTGAGCTTGGGAGGGCATAGGCCCACCCACTTGGGAGCCAGGCCCAGCCAATCAGAATGAGTTTATTACAGACAGAAATACTCCTCAGTTTCATCAGCTGTCCGGGTGGCTAGTCTCAGACAATCCCACAGGTGAAGAAGTCGGATGTGGAGGTCCTGGCCTGGCGTGGTTACACGTGGTCTGCGGTTGTGAGGCCGGTTGGACTTACTGCCAAATTCTCTCAAAAAACGAAGTTTATGGCTTATGGTAGAGCAATTAACATTAAATTATCTGGCAACAGCTCTGGTAGACATTCCTGCAGTTAGCATGCCAATTGCACGCTCCCTCAAAACTTGAGACATCTTTAGCATGTGTGTCGTGTGGCAAAACTGCACATTTTAGAGTTGCCCAGAACAAGGTGCACCTGTGACACTGCATAATGAAGTTGGTAGTGAGGTGTTTTGTAGAAGTAATGATGAGCCTCCCTATGTTCCTAATGTCTATCACGTTTCCTCTCCACAACTCTTCTATGGCACATGCGATAATCTCTACGATAAGCAAACATCCAGACAATAGTTACACTAACATACACAAATATACATGGACCAGCAGCATTAAGTCAATGCAGGTCACATGATACATTCTGTAGAAGAGATATCCCTGTGTCACTTGTGAAGCCGTCTGCGAAACCCTCTCCTTCGACCAGGGTGGGTCTCTTGTTGCACATGGGGCACAGTTTGTTCCTCTCCTGTGAGGCCCTCATCCAGACAATGAGGTTCCAGCGCTGGCCAGAGGAGATGGGCAGGGCACCGTGCATGTGTTGTCCTCTGTGGAGGAGACCCTCTGTCACTCTGTGCTCTACCTCCACACATGCTGTCTCACTCAGAGGCACCTGCAGGGGCAGCAAAAACCCTATCAGCCACTGAGCCACACTAAACTAACAATGCAACTGTTTACTAAAGGGCTGTGGTGACTTTAGTTCATGCAACTAATAAATCTGTGTGCGATTTCACAACCTAAAATATAACAGTGTGTAACCTGTGTGTACACTGGCATGGTTTTTAAACCACAGTGTGTGTGGAATTAATGAGAGATAGTATGAATCTAAACCAAGAGCACAGCTCCATTTGTTATTTCATTCTACATAACACTATTGTGTGTGGTCCTCTGTAGCTCAATTGGTAGAGCATGGCGCTTGTAACGCCAGGGTAATGGTTTCGATCCCCGGGACCACCCATACGTAAAAATGTATGCACACATAACTGTAAGTCGCTTTGGATAAAAGTGTCTGCTAAATGGCATATTATATTATTACACTTCCCCATCTTGCTCTAATGAGGCACCTGTCTCATGTCACCAAAGTAGAGATTCCCCTCCTTGAACTCTTTCCCCAGAGACACGTTGAGAGTGACCTCTGCATTGTCGTAGTGGTAGCTGAGGTCCAGGTCTTCATGCATGTCATATTTCACCATGAAGGCCTTGTGGCTGTCCAGGCAGCGTCCTCCACAGTCATGGTATAGCAGAGATGTGAGAGGCTGCAGATACTGCTCACGGAGCGGGATGATGAAGCCTTCGTCAAACCCTAACTCGTTCAGGAGGATCTGTGTGGACAAAAGAACATCACCAACAAAAGTAACATGAGTTACCACAGGTAACACTTGATACATTGAGCATTTTGCCTGAAGTCTCCAAATCTAATATTCTACAGATTTCTCTCATATATAAGAGGACGTGTACCCCATAGTTATTCATGGTGTTCGGTCTGCCCTTGGGTGATGTAGATTGTTCAAAGTGTTCCATCTCTTCTATCAGCTCCTCACAGAATACTTTCTTGAACACAGGAAAGCGGAAGACCCTTGCGGCTTCAGAAAATGAAAGATAATGAGTTAGCCCTAATGTGGACCATGGAATAAAAATGTCTATGAAGTTGAACAGTCATGACAGGCACCACCTATGTCAACTATAAACTCTAAGGAAAATTCACCTGCTTCTGTCTGCATTAAACTCAACAGTCCCTCTTTACTGGCCTCATCACTTCGACAATAATCCACCATCTGTTTAAACTCTGGGGCCATATAGGACTCCTAAAGAGATAGACAATCTAAGTCAATTACACTGTACAGTAATACCACAGATCAAAGGGTTAATTATTAGTATCCGTTTATGGATTTGAAGACTGCAGTATTGTATGATTCCTACCTGGAGATGGTAGACATGGTCATGGAGAGGTTTATAAATCTCCTTAATGGCAGCAGCTCTCTCAGCTGACTTCACACCAAGGCTCCTGCGCCTTTCAACTTCTTTGGCAATCTAGATAGGAAACATTCAACCCATACATTACAATAGATTGATCATTCAGTCCAATTTTCATAAAATACTCAAAATGCATGGGCCTACTTGCCTTTTTCAGGATGTCCTCGAATTCTGTGTCAGTGGAGCAGCCAAGATTTCTTAACACCTGGAATGTAAACAGAAGTAAGGTTACTAACTTTACACTTATCTAACAAGATCTGTAACGTGACAATCGTTTGTAGATCTACTGCCTAGCTAGGCCAGATCCCCACCGCTTGATAATCCGTTCTAAACTGGTGCTCTGATAGAAATCTGACATGAAGTTTGAACTCCTCGAGGAAAATATTGTCAGTGCTAAAACAACTACAAGTGTAAAATGTTGCCTTGGAATCCTTGTCGTGTTGCATGACTATCCTATAACGAAAATACAAATAAACGTATTATAGGACAAATCACAATAATATTGGCTAATATAGCAGTTAAACGTTGGTGGTATCGCCCCCGGAACTCTAGTTGTTTGATGTGATCCAACTGTGTTATGTGTCCGATGTGAAACGATACTCTCAGCATTTAGTTTCCATGATTTGTTATCAACAAAAGAGCTTAAACAGAGACACATTGCTGAATATAAAATATACAAATATCAAACAGTACTCTATTATTTAAATATGTGGACATTTTTCTATCTGTTGGTGTAAAATTGATTCAAGAGGAAAAGTAAACTTCGAATTTCGTTTCCGGGTCCGTCAAAATAAATCCTCTGTTCGCAGAATACTAAGGCAACATGCGAATCACTAATCCGTTGATTGAGTTCTTCTTTTGTCATATTCATATTTGTTTGCACGTAAGTCGGTTTCTCCTTGTAATATATAATTTGGCTCGCATATTTACAGTGGTTTGAGGTCCCTTTTTTAGCTTCTGAGATGTTGAGTGTGGATTCGTTGCAAGTGGTGGCTGAAGAGGAGGTGGTGGAGTCGAGCTCAAACCGACTGGGTGACATCTACACGTTTGTGGCCGAGGGCTGCTACCCCCAGACTATGAATCCTATACGAAAGAAGAATCTCAAAAGATATGCTCAGAAATTCATAATTGATGGTAAGAGAGTGAATAGATAACAAAAAACAACAACAAGAAAAGGCTTAATGTGTAGAGGGGGGTTGAAATGTGTGTTGTTGACTAGGCTAGCATCTCTTTCTAATTGCATGTTTGCATGTTGTCTGTGTGGTTTTGTTGTTCTAGAGGATCTACTGTACTATGTGGGGCCCAAGAAGGAGGAGAAGCGAGAGGTGGTGATTGAAGCTGAACGTAAGAGGCATATATTCTTAGAGTGCCACTTCAATGACATCGGTCATCACCTGGGACAAAAGAAGACTGTTCACAAGATCCAAAGCAAGTATTACTGGCTGGGTATTGTGAAGGACGTCGTGGACTGGGTATGTGCATCTCTTTGGACTTCAGTGTAATAAAATAATACAGCTTGGAGGCATATCATTCATTCTTCTTACAGATTGTGTTTGTGCATTTGTGTGCCTTAGATAAAGGTATGTGAAACCTGTCAACACACGGAGAGGAACAAAAACATGACAAGGACTGTTAGGCCAATCAAAGTGGATGCTCCCTGGGAAATTCTAGGGATTGATATATTTGGTAAATAAACTTCTCAGAAATGAAACTACTCAGCTAGTGTAACCAGTGTAAAATGACTAGCTAGTTAGTGGTGCACGGTAGTAGTAGCATTTCAATCGGGGACGTCACTTGCTCTGAGAATTTGAAGTAGTTGTTTTACTTGCTCTGCAATGGCCGCAGCTTTTGTGGAGCGATAGGTGATGATGCTTTGTGGGAGGCAGTTGTCGATGTGTTCAGAGGGTACCTGGTTCTAGCCCAGGGTGGGGAAAGGAGAGGGGTGGAAGAAACACTATTACACTAGTCTCAGAACAATAGATCAAGATTTTAAATGGTTGTCTGACTTTATTGAATTTGTTCTTCTTTAGAAGAAAAGGAAAAGCTGCACACACTAATAGCTCCGATGCAATATTTTATTTGCCAATGTTTTGAGAGAAAGCTGTCTTCATCAGGGTTTCATGTCAAGCACTGCAGGTCACCAGTATATATAGGTTTCCATTCGACACACGCAGGTGTTTGCAATCATGGCTGGCTATGGCATGACATCATTGGTCAATTTACACATAACAATAATATAGAAAAAAGCATGAATGGATACACAATGATCATAGCCTACAATTACATTATAAGTAGCCTAGTGTACACAATTGAATGTACAATCAATGGAAAAATCACAAATAGCCTACATCATAAGAAGCCTATAACATTTTATTTCACAGGAGTTTCTGATCAAACTCAATGTTCAGACCAAAGGAAGCGAGGGTCTTTAAATTAAAAAATTGGTTCTTCTTTTCACCAGGCCCCTTCCCAGAAACCCAGCAAGGTAATTCCAGCGTGGTAATCGTCACAGATTACTTCAGCAAGTGGGTGGAGGCATTCCCCATTCAAAAGAGAGATTGCCTCTCTGTTGCCAGATGTATTTCTACATCCATTTACAGGTAGCCTAATTAAACACACACATTTTAATACTAATTTGAATATTATCTGCAAGATACAACGTGAGTGGACATGAGATGGCGCTTAATCACCATATCCCCCCCCCCCCCCCCCCCCCCACCAGGTTTGGGGCAGCAAAAACAATTATCTCCACACAAAGCGTTGACTTTTGTGATGAGGTGAGAAGTTATTAGCCTGTGTCTATTTACAAACTTAACGAAGTGGATAGGCCGATATCAACATTTGTCCTGTAATGTTACTTCCAGGTGACCAAGCACCTGTGTGACAGGTGGAACCTAGTGCAGAAAGTGTCTGCTGTGGAGTTGAACCCGCTACACGACCGCAGCAGTGGCCTACTGAAGGAGGCCATCACACAGGTGGTGGCAGAGAAGCAGGCAGAGTGGGACGATTTCCTGGACCCTGTTTTATATCTGTTTAGGATGACCATCGACCCCACAACCAAGTTTACACCCTATTTACTAATGTTCAGCAGGGAAGCCATTTTACCCAGTGAGGTGATATGTTTTTTTTGTGTCACTTTGTTGTGGTTTAAAAATGCATCAAATTGTGTTATTACTATGTTATTGTTCATGTTTAGTTGCTAATTTTCGATTTCTTTTGTCAAGACAAAAGCTGGTCCTTTCAGTTACGATCAAGAGACGGATTTGTATCACTCAAAGAAAGAGGCCTCTGCTTGTATGACAGTGATACAGGAGCAGCAGATCTCTGTCAAGCAGCTGGTGAGTTTGAATTGGAAATGGAATATCTTCCCATTTGGGAGACGCTGTGCTGCACTGCTAAAGAGAGCCTGATGAGCTTGTTTCATGGCTGCTACTTCACTGCTGACTTACTTGACTTCAACCCTATTGCTCTTTGGGGTGCATAGGTCATCAGGACATACTGTAGGTCATGTGTGAAATTCCCATGTGAGCTTTCTCTGGATTCCATTGGAAATTGTAAATAGTTGTTTGTGTTTACAGGTGATCGCCAACATGAATGCGGCCTACAAACAGGAGAAGAAGAATGCCAAGAGAAGAGCTCGGAACATGCCCTCCATCACCTTCAAAGTCACCAACCCTATGTTTTGCTCGGGAGAGTCACCCTCCCAGAAGAAACTGAAACCGAGCATTTACTTGTCTTTCCCTGTGGAAACAGTCCTCGTCACTAAGGAAAGCAGCTCAGATGTAAAAAAAAGTGACTTGGAATACCCCTTGGTTTCTGATGTTCATTGAGGCCTGCTATGCTGGGGTTATGGTATACAAGGGACAAAATTGAGATGCATACAGTCACTGTATTGATGGATCAACTATTCGTCTCGCTTCAGTGCTACGATGGAGACATTCTGTCCACATAGCTAAGCAGTGAACATAGAGGCACCGACATCAAGAATCCTGACCAAAAATATTGAAACAAAATTATTGTCTTGGTCACATGTCCAAATACATAGGTTCTCTCTAGCAGTGCCTGGTGGATTTGTGGTCTTGTCATTGATATTGTGAGGCCTGTAGGTGCTAAAGGCCAATTTGTTTTCAGCAAGAGGTGAACGAAATGAGTACTTTTACACTAGATAATGTAGGATACACCTAGATCTCCACCTCTGTGTTCAAAACCGGATATGAAGGCGTATTGATGTCATGGACCAGTGCACTTGGATCCAGCATGTTCTTTTGGGCCCACACTTGGGATACTTTATATCCACAATCAGTCATTCATGAATACTTTGAATTTTGGCTCTGCTACATGCTTTAGGGAAGGAATGTTATTCATCGGTTTGGGTCCATATCAAATGATGGCTTAAAAGTCTATTGTTGTGCATGGATTCAATATTCCCCATAGGCCCCACATTCTACTGAAGAATCTAGTGGCCAGTGCAACCTTGAAGAAATGTGGATGGGAAAACAATAGAGTTAAAAAGAAAAAACAAATCACCCTTTTAATCGTCCTCAACATGGGCATGACATAAAATATTTGAATAGGGACATCGCCACACAACAAAGTCTTGTTAACAGACCCAGTACCCCTAAAGTGATAAATATGACTTTCACATGGAAGTTATGAGTCACTTAATGCACATTTTAATAAAAACAATCCAACTCCTATGTTTGTCTAAATGATCTCTGTCTTACACACACAACACACACACACACAATCTCTGAGTCCCTTCGAATAAACCTCATAAAAATGTATGGCTCTGGCTCTTTAGCCTGGCTGACGCGATTCACGTGATTTAGCGCAGGGAGCGGCTCTCTGGATTGCCCCGCCAATTCCTTCCTGGGATGATCTTGTAGGAGGAGCCTCGCACACCATGAATATTACCGGCTTCCATAACATTGCATAAAGGACTACCGGTGCGGCTCAAGTGCAAATCGATATGAACCCAGAATGCGACAGAATGGAGAGACGTCCATGTCGCATAAAATATAATAAATTACTGTATCAAGGAAAGCTGTTCAGTGATCGAATATCCGAGAGGAGATAAAAGCGACAGACGGTAGGTCAATGTGATACAGTAACCTTGTCGAAACCTGATGTCACGGTCGCATTAGTGATCATTGATCACGGTAGGCATTTATACTGAACAATATAAACGCAACATGCAACATTTTCAAAGATTTTACTGAGTTACAGTTCATATGAGGAAATCCGTCAATTGAAATAATTTCATTAGGCCCTAATCTATGGATTTCACATGACTGGCAATATAGATATGCATCTGTTGGTTACAGATACCTTTAAAACAATTTGAAATCAAGATCTAGTCACGGTATTTCTGTGCATTCAAATTGTAATCGATAAAATGCAATTGTGTACGTTGTCTGTAGTTTATGCCTGCCCATACCATAACCCCAGTGCCACCATGAGGCACTCTGTTCACAATGTTGACATCAGCAAACCACTCACCCACACAACGCCATACACGTGGGTGTGAGGCAGGTTGGACATACTGCCAAATTCTCTAAAACACGTTGGAGGTGGCTTATGGTAGAGAAATGAACATTAACATTCCTGTAGTCAACATGCCAATTGCACGCTCCCTCAAAACTTGAGACATCTGTGACATTGTGTTGTGTGGCAAAACTGCACAATTTAGGGAGGCCATTGGTCACAGTAGGCATTTATACTGAACAAAATATAAACGCAACATACAACAATTTCAAAGATTTTACTGAGTTACAGTTCATATGAGGAAATCAAGGGCCTTCTGTAGCTCAGTTGGTAGAGCATGGCGCTTGCAACGCCAGGGTTGTGGGTTCGATTCCCACGGGGGGCCAGTATGAAAAATGTATACACTCACTAACTGTCAAATGTCAAAAATGAAATCCATAAATTGAAATAAATTCATTAGGCCCTAATGTATGGATTTCACATGACTTGCAATACAGATATGCTTCTGTTGGTCACAGATGCCTTTAAAAAATCCTGGTGGATTTGTGGTCTTGTCATTGATATTTTGAGGCCTTTTTTTGTGAGGCCTTTTTTTTGAGAGGCCATTTATTGTCCCCAGCATAAGGTGCACCTGTGTAATGATCATGCTGTTTAATCAGCTTCTTGATATGCCACACATGTCAGGTCGATGGATTATCTTGGCAAAGGAGAAAAGCTCACTAACAGGGATGTAAACACATTTGTGCACAACATTTTAGAGAAATAAGCTTCTTGTGCATATGGACAATTTCTGGGATCTTTTATTTATCTCATGAAACATGGGACTAACACTTTACATGTTGCGTTAATATTTTTGTTCAGTGTAGTTCGGTGGACTTGCATTTGGGTTGAATTCAAAACACTTGTTCGGAATAAAAACGTCATATAATTGTAATAGTCTATGTATTGTAATAGCAACAAATTAAAACAAAACAATAGGCTACAGTTTTAGCTTTTTGTATCCTTGTTTCTCCCCAGACCTTTTGACTCTTTACAGGACACTATCTCTCCACGGATAGACTGAAACAGAATGGGGGTCATAGTAGTGGTGAGCTGTATCTTGGTATTTATCCTGGTGGATGTTATTGTCACCACTGTCCTCTACTTACATGGTTGCCAGACTGCAATATTTACAGAGGATGTGCAGAACTTTGACATTCTCCACTCCGTCCTGGACCTCTGGGGGACTGTGCTGGTCAGAGTCTGCCTTCTGCTCGGGGCCTCCATAGGGGTGCTATGGAACAGAGTGGATGGCCCACGCAGGGTCTCTGCCCTGGGGACCCTGACTCTACTAATCTGCCTGACCGTCAGCACCTACGCCTTAGCCAAGCTGCTGATGCTCTCGGAGCAGGGCGATCTGGCGCACCAACCCTGGTTCCTCAGCCTGTTTTCCTGGACCTGTGTGTCAGTGCTGGGAACTGTGCTCCTCTGGAGGCTCCTGGGAAGGTCTCCCAACACTGTGACTGAAGGAGAGGGAGGTGGTGGAGGAGGTGTCTGTGAGGAGACTGAGAGGCTGGTGGAGACAGCAGGAGAGAATGGCACTGAGGAGGTGGAGGAGCAGCAGGAGCATGGGTGGAAGAAGAGGAAGAGGGCGAGCAGGAAAGGGACACAGGACCAGACCAACTCAGGGGCCACACTGGGGCGTCTGCTGTCCTACTGCAGTAAATACACTGGGCTGCTCTCTGTAGCCTTGATCTTCCTCCTTATCTCTGCTGTGTGTGAGTGGCAACTTGTTTAATTACAATGCACAGACGACTAGGGCCCTGAGTTTTTCCTGAACACATGACCTGACCAGGAACAACGCAGGGCTATAGTTACAGACTATAACTAGAGAACTGAGGTTTTCCCTGGTCAGGTCACATCAGTTATTTGGCCTGGCTATGGTCAGGAAGAACTCAGGGCCCAACAGACGACAAGTCAAGTTGATTAATGTAAATATCAACACCATTGTGAGGCTGGCATATTACACAGTGTTGCATGAGATAGGAGTTATGTGTAATAAAGTAACATAACCAGCTTCTTTTAAGTTCTGTTTTGATCCCATGCGTTTGTATTTTACGACTTTATTATTCAACTCATACCAGCATGGTATTGCATTCAGGGTTGCAAGGTTGCTCTACTACTCATTATAAACTGAGTGTTCAAGCCCTGAATGCTGATTGGCTGACAGACGTGGTATATCAGACCGTATACCACATGTATGACAAAACATGTATTTTTACTGCAATAATTACATTGGTAATCAGTTTATAATAGCAATAAGGCACCTCGGGGGTTTGTGATATATGGCCAATATATCACGGCTAAAGGCTGTGTCCAGGCACTCCGCGTTGTGTCGTGCTTAAGAACAGCCCTTAGCCGTGGTATATTGGCCATATAACGCACCCCCTCGGGCCTTAATGCTTAATTATACCAGTGACAAATGACATTAATGACTCATGTACCATGAGTAAAGAATGGTGTATAACTATTGCTCTACCCTACTCATTTCCTTTCATTATAGATATATCGAAATATATCTATACATTTAGCCCTATTTCTATTTTACACAATTGTGCTTATTGTTTTTCATAACATTTAATGGTACTACGTTATCCACTTTATAGGTGAGGCCTTCATCCCCTACTACACTGGGCAGGCTATAGATGGCATTGTTATTCACAAGAGTATGGAGTACTTCACCAAGCCCCTGATCACTCTCACAGTGTTGGCCTTAGTCAGGTAAGCCATGCTAAAGTAAACAGTGATCACAAGATGTGTGTTTTGTTAACTCTTTGTCCTTGTTGTGTGCCATATCTTCTTTGATGTCTTGCACATACACTACCGTTCAAAAGTTTGGGGTCACTTGGAAATGTCCTTTTGAAAAGCAATTTTTTTGTACATTAAAATAACATCACATTGATCAGAAATACAGTGTAGACATTGTTAATGTTGTAAATGGCTATTGTAGCTGGAAATGGCTGATTTTTTATGGAATATCTACATAGGCGTACAGAGGCCCATTATCAGCAACCTTCAGTCCTGTGTTCCAATGGCACGTTGTGTTTCATATGAGGAAATCTGTCAATTGAAATAATTTCATTAGGCCCTAATCTATGGATTTCACATGACTGGCAATACAGATATGCATCTGTTGGTCACATATACCTTAAAAAAATTGAGTCACGGGATTTCTGTGCATTCAAATTGTCATCGATAAAATGCAATTGTGTTCGTTGTCTGTAGTTTATGCCTGCCCATACCATAACCCAAGTGCCACCATGAGGCACTCTGTTCACAATGTTGACATCAGCAAACTCGTCAAGAAAAAACTATATCTCAGATTGCCCATCTTAATCTTTTATTTTTATTGGCCAGTCTAAGATATGGCTTTTTCTTTGCAACTCTGCCTAGAAGGTCAGCATCCCGGAGTCGCCTCTTCACTGTTGACGTTGAGACTGCTATTTTGCGGGTACTATTTAATGAAGCTGCCAGTTGAGGACCTGTGAGGCATCTGTTTCTCAAAGTAGAAACTCTAATGTATTTGTCCTCTTGCTCAGTTGTGCACCAGGGCCTCCCACTCCTCTTTCTATTCTGGTTAGAGCCAGTTTGCGCTGTTCTGTGAAGGGAGTAGTACACAGCGTTGTACGAGATCTTCAGTTTCTTGGCAATTTCTCACATGGAATAGCCTTCATTTCTCAGAACAAGAATATACTGACGAGTTTCAGAAGAAAGTTCTTTGTTTCTGGCCATTTTGAGCCTGTAATCAAACCCACAATTGCTGAAGGCCAGTTTTATTGCTTATTTAATCAGCACAACAGTTTTCAGCTGTGCTAACATAATTGCAAAATGGTTTTCTAATGATCAATTAGCCTTTTAAAATGATAAACTTCGATTAGCAAACACAACGTGCCATTGGCACACATGACTGATGGTTGCTGATAATGGGCCTCTGTACGCCTATGTAGACATTCCATTAAAAATCAGCCGTTTCCAGCTACAATAGACATTTACAACATAAAAAATGTCTACACTGTATTTCTGAACAATTTGATGTTATTTTAATGGGCAAAAAAAATGAGGTAGTGTATGTCTATTATTGATTCTACATTATATACATTGATCCTTGTGTGTTTGTGGCGTATTCTGTATCTCTGACAGCATTTCATTTCTTGTGTCTCTCTTCAGCTCTATAGCTATTGGAGTACGAGGTGGCCTCTTTAATCTAACCTTTGCCAGACTGAATCTTCGCCTGCGGAATCTTCTCTTCAGATCTCTGATGCGTCAGGAGATGGGCTTCTTTGATGCTAACCACACAGGTGAGATCTCAAGACTTCTCTTTATTAATTTCCTTCAACCTTCATCCTTTTCCCTTGTTCCTCTGATCAGATGATACATAAAACGCTTGGTAACACTTTACGGAAAGCCTGCAGGTATAATCTTTAATGTATATTTTGAGCCCCAGTCTACCTGTTATAACAAGTCATAATGCTTTATAACTTGTATAATAAGTCTAAAGTTATGTCTTATAACAAGGCTTATTAACTTTTATTGAGGAAAACTCGTTCCAAGAATCAGGCAGAGCTCATTATCCAGTTAATAAGAGTTTATTCAAGCACATTGCAGGGTAGTTCACACTCAGGATAAACTGGAGAGGAACTCAAAAGCTTACAGAACTACACAGTCTTTATATACTTCATCTACACAAAGAGCCGCTTACCCCTCTTATGGGGGCAAGGTTAAATGAGAGAAAGGGGTACTTTGCTCCACTTTCTTAAAGCTTTGTACAAACAAGAACAGGATCTCCTCTAACTGAAGCTAATTGTAGATATTTTTATTATTATATTGATAATGTAAAATTAACAGCCATACAGAAAGACATGTGAAGGTGAAATTACAGAGGAGGAACTTCTGGATGCAATTAAAGACTTTAAGTCCGGGTAAACTCCAGGGTTGGATGGCATACCAGTCGAGGTAAACCAAACCTTTTTTGATATACTAAGAGGACCGTTATTAGCATGTTTTAACCACTCCTATGTAAATGATAGATTATCTGACACTCAAGAAGAAGGTCTGATCTCATTATTACTGAAACAGGATACAAGTGGAAAATATAAAGATACAGTCCATTAAAAAATGTGGAGGCCCCTTACACTTCAGTGTTGTGATGCAAAAATTCTAGCAAAATGTATAGCGCATAGAATTAAAAAGGTATTGTCGGATATTATTCATTCTAATCAGACAGGTTTTTTACATGGAAGATACATTGGAGATAATATAAGGCAAGTATTGGAAACAATAGAACACTATGGAAAATCTGGGAAACCAGGCCTGCTATTCATAGCAGACTTCGAAAAGGCATTTGATAAAGTACGACTGGGGTTTATATATAAATGCCTGGAGCATTTCAATTTTGGAGAATCTCTTATAAAATGGGTCAAAATCATGTATAGTAACCCTAGGTGTAAAATAGTAAATAATGGCTATTTCTCAGAAAGTTTTAAACTGTCAAGAGGAGTGAAACAAGGTTGTCCACTATCGGCATATCTATTTATTGTGGCCATCGAGATGTTAGCTATTAAAATCAGATCCAACAATAATATCAGGGGATTAGAAATCCAGGGCTTAAAAACAAAGGTGTCATTGTACGCTGATGATTCATGTTTTCTTTTAAATCCACAACTAGAATCCCTCCACAGCCTCATAGAGAATCTAGATACATTTCTAACCTCTCTGGATTACAACCAAATTATGACAAATGTACTATATTACGTATTGGATCACAAAAAAATAAAAATTTTACATTACCATGTAGTTTACCAATAAATTGGTCTGATGGTGATGTGGATATACTCAGAATACATATCCCAAAGGAAATACATGATCTCACTTCAATACATTTTAATAGAAAGTTAGCAAAAATAGATAAGATCTTGCTACCATGGAAAGGTAAATACCTGTCAATTTGTGGAAAAATCACCCTGATTAACTCTTTAGTATTATCCCAGTTTACCTATTTGCTTATGGTCTTGCCTACGCCTAGCGAACAGTTGTTTAAATTATATGAGAAATAAATATTCCATTTTATTTGGAACTGCAAGCCAGACAAAATTAAACCGGCCTATTTATACAATGAATATGAATTCGGAGGACAGAAATTATTAAATATTAAAGCATTAGATCTATCACTAAAAGCTTCAGTCATACAAAAGTTATACTTAAATCCTAACTGGTTCTCTAGCAAATTAGTAAGATTGTCTCACCCAATGTTCAAGAATGGCCTTTTTCCCTTTATTCAGATTACAACCACTCACTTTCAGTTATTTGAAAAGGAAATAATCTCCCAAATATCACTATATCTAAAACAAGCCATAGAAAGTTGGTTGCAATTTCAATTGAATACTCCAGAAACGACAGAACAAATAATGCAACAAATATTGTGGTTAAACTCAAATATACTAATTGACAAAAAACATATTTTTTTTTTACAAAATGTTTAAAAAAGGTATAATCTTCGTAAATGATATCATCGGTAGGACTGGTGGAGTTATGTCGCACATGCAGCTAACAAAAACATATGGAAATGTCTGCTCTATCCAAAATTACAATCAAATAATTGCAGCCTTACCGCAAAAATGGAAGAGGAAAGTGGAAGGGGGAGAAAGTAAGGAACTTGTCTGTCAGCCTTGCATTAAAGAACATAATTGGTTAAGGAAAACTGTGATAAATAAAAACGTATATCAGTTTCATTTAAGGACCAAAGGATTGACAGCCATCCCATATAGATTGCAAAATAGTTGGGAAGAGATTTTTGACGTACCGATCCCATGGCATAGTGTTTATGAACTGATACGCAAAACGACACCGGATTCAAAACTTAGAATCTTTCAATTTAAATTATTATATACAATTCTTGCTACCAATAGAATGTTATTTATATGGGGGATACAATCTTCCCAGCTCTGCAGATTTAGCTGCGAAGAGACAGAATCATTAGATAATTTGTTTTGGTACTGTCCATTTGTAGCTTGTTTTTGGACACAGGTCCAGGAATGGCTAAAGGATTGCAATATTTACCTGGAGCTAACCTTGCAGATAGCATTACTGGGTGAGCTGAAAAGTCATAGTCAATCGATCAATAACATAATAATACTTTTAGCAAAAAAAAATATTTTCAATTCACAATCTGTAGAAACAATGAGAATAGAAAGGTTCAGAACTTTTGTAAGACATCACAGTACAGTTGAAATATACAGTGGGGGAAAAAAGTATTTAGTCAGCCACCAATTGTGCAAGTTCTCCCACTTAAAAAGATGAGAGAGGCCTGTAATTTTCATCATAGGTACACGTCAACTATGACAGACAAAATGAGGAAAACAAATCCAGAAAATCACATTGTAGGATTTTTTATGAATTTATTTGCAAATTATGGTGGAAAATAAGAATTTGGTCAATAACAAAAGTTTCTCAATACTTTGTTATATACCCTTTGTTGGCAATGACACAGGTCAAACGTTTTCTGTAAGTCTTCACAAGGTTTTCACACACTGTTGCTGGTATTTTGGCCCATTCCTCCATGCAGATCTCCTCTAGAGCAGTGATGTTTTGGGGCTGTCGCTGGGCAACACAGACTTTCAACTCCCTCCAAAGATTTTCTTTGGGGTTGAGATCTGGAGACTGGCTAGGCCACTCCAGGACCTTGAAATGCTTCTTACGAAGCCACTCCTTCGTTGCCCGGCGGTGTGTTTGGGATCATTGTCATGCTGAAAGACCCAGCCACGTTTCATATTCAATGCCCTTGCTGATGGAAGGAGGTTTTCACTCAAAATCTCACGATACATGGCCCCATTCATTCTTTCCTTTACACGGATCAGTCGTCCTGGTCCCTTTGCAGAAAAACAGCCCCAAAGCATGATGTTTCCACCCCCATGCTTCACAGTAGGTATGGTGTTCTTTGGATGCAACTCAGCATTCTTTGTCCTCCAAACACGACGAGTTGAGTTTTTACCAAAAAGTTATATTTTGGTTTCATCTGACCATATGACATTCTCCCAATCCTCTTCTGGATCATCCAAATGCACTCTAGCAAACTTCAGACGGGCCTGGACATGTACTGGCTTAAGCAGGGGGACACGTCTGGCACTGCAGAATTTGAGTCCCTGGCGGCGTAGTGTGTTACTGATGGTAGGCTTTGTTACTTTGGTCCCAGCTCTCTGCAGGTCATTCACTAGGTCCCCCCGTGTGGTTCTGGGATTTTTGCTCACCGTTCTTGTGATCATTTTGACCCCACGGGTGAGATCTTGCGTGGAGCCCCAGATCGAGGGAGATTATCAGTGGTCTTGTATGTCTTCTATTTCCTAATAATTGCTCCCACAGTTGATTTCTTCAAACCAAGCTGCTTACCTATTGCAGATTCAGTCTTCCCAGCCTGGTGCAGGTCTACAATTTTGTTTCTGGTGTCCTTTGACAGCTCTTTGGTCTTGGCCATAGTGGAGTTTGGAGTGTGACTGTTTGAGGTTGTGGACAGGTGTCTTTTATACTGATAACAAGTTCAAACAGGTGCCATTAATACAGGTAACGAGTGGAGGACAGAGGAGCCTCTTAAAGAAGAAGATACAGGTCTGTGAGAGCCAGAAATCTTGCTTGTTTGTAGGTGACCAAATACTTATTTTCCACCATAATTTGCAAATAAATTCATAAAAAATCCAACAATGTGATTTTCTGAATTTATTTTTCTCAATTTGTCTGTCATAGTTGACGTGTACCTATTATGAAAATTACAGGCCTCCCTCATCTTTTTAAGTGGGAGAACTTGCACAATTGGTGGCTGACTAAATACTTTTTTCCCCCACTGTATATGTTAAATAGAAATCCTATATGGATGGTGTTAAAAGATAGATGGGAGGTGTTGAATGGAATTGAAGGATGGGACTAATAACAACAAATAATAACAATAACAATAACTAATAATGTAAGCATACTGTGTCCATAATAAGTATATAGGTTGTAGGTTGGGAGCTTTTGTGAAAGAGCACAGTTAGAAAGATATGGCATATAGAAGCAAACCGGATGGACATCATGAAAATGATCGGAGAGGTTGAGAGTAGAGGAAGTTCAGGATAAAAAACAAACAAAATATAATTATTGTAAAATTGACTGTGTCCATAAAATGTAGATAGTAGGTATAAGCTGGAAGTAGAGGCCTAAGCATTGTTGTTCACTAGTTTACTCCAAGTAGGGAAAGTGTGGCGGGGTTGGAAAGTAATAAAGGAGGGAATATATATATATTTTTAAAGGATATGTATGTGTATGTATGTACAGTGAGGGAAAAAAGTATTTGATCCCCTGCTAATTTTGTACGTTTGCCCACTGACAAAGAAATGATCAGTCTATAATTTTAATGGTAGGTTTATTTGAACAGTGAGAGACAGAATAACAACAAAAAAATCCAGAAAAACGCATGTCAAAAATGTTATAAATTGAATTGCATTTTAATGAGGGAAATAAGTATTTGACCCCCTCTCAATCAGAAAGATTTCTGGCTCTCAGGTGTCTTTTATACAGGTAACGAGCTGAGATTAGGAGATTAGGAAACACAAAAGAACTGTCAATCTCCCTCGGCCTGGGGCTCCATGCAAGATCTCACCTCGTGGAGTTGCAATGATCATGAGAACGGTGAGGAATGAGCCCAGAACTACACGGGAGGATCTTGTCAATGATCTCAAGGCAGCTGGGACCATAGTCACCAAGAAAACAATTGGTAACACACTACGCTGTGAAGGACTGAAGTCCTGCAGCGCCCGCAAGGTCGAGGCTGACGTTTGGCAACTCGAACCTTCAGCTCCCTCCACAGATTTTCTATGGGATTAAGGTCTGGAGACTGGCTAGGCCACTCCAGGACCTTAATGTGCTTCTTCTTGAGCCACTCCTTTGTTGCCTTGGCCGTGTGTTTTGGGTCATTGTCATGCTTGAATACCCATCCACTACCCATGTTCAATGCCCTGGCTGAGGGAAGGAGGTTCTCACACAAGATTTGATGGTACATGGCCCCGTCCATCGTCCCTTTGATGCGGTGAAGTTGTCCTGTCCCCTTAGCAGAAAAACACCCCCAAAGCATAATGTTACCACCTCCATGTTTGATGGTGGGTATGGTGTTCTTTGGATGCAACTCAGCATTCTTGTCCTCCAAACACGACGAGTTGAGTTTCATTTCAGAGTGCATGGGATTTCAGTCCTTCACGGCGTAGTGTGTTACCAATCGTTTTCTTGGTGACTATGGTCCCAGCTGCCTTGAGATCATTGACAAGATCCTCCTGTGTAGTTCTGGGCTCATTCCTCACCGTTCTCATGATCATTGCAACTCCACGAGGTGAGATCTTGCATGGAGCCCCAGGCCGAGGGAGATTGACAGTTATTTTGTGTTTCTTCCATTTGGGAATAATCGCACCAACTGTTGTCACCTTCTCACCAAGCTGCTTGGAGATGGTCTTGTAGCCCATTCCAGCCTTGTGTAGGTCTACAATCTTGTCCCTCACATCCTTGGAGAGCTCTTTGGTCTTGGCCATGGTGGAGAGTTTGGAATCTGATTGATTGATTGCTTCTGTGGACAGGTGTCTTTTATACAGGTAACAAACTGAGATTAGGAGCACTCCCTTTAAGAGTGTGCTCCTAATCTCAGCTCGTTACATGTATAAAACACACCTGGGAGCCAGAAATCTTTCTGATTGAGACAGGGTCAAATACTTATTTCCCTCATTAAAATGCAAATCAATGTATAACATTTTTGACATGTGTTTTTCTGGATTCTTTTGTTGTTATTCTGTCTCTCACTGTTCAAATAAACCTACCATAGAAATTATAGACTGATCATTTCTTTGTCAGTGGGTAAACGTACAAAATCAGCAGGGGATCAAATACTTTTTTCCCTCACTGTATGTGTATATATATACATTTACATTTTAGTTATTTAACAGACGCTCTTATCCAGAGCGACTTACAGTTAGTGAGTGCATACATCATTATTATTATTATTTTATTTATTTATATATATATATATATATTTTTTTTATATATATATATTTTTTTTACTGGCCCCCCGTGGGAAATGAACCCACAACCCTGGCGTTGCAAACGCCATGCTCAACCAACTTAGCTACATCCCTGTCGGCCATTCCCTCCCCTATCCTGGACGACGCTGGGCCAATTGTGCGCCGCCCCATGGCTCTCCCGGTCACGGCCGGCTATATATATATATATATATATATATATATATATATATATATATACACATACATATACATACATACACATATACATATATATATATAAAAAACATGGGGGATTGGAAGTGATGCAGACAATTACATTGATGGAAGTTACAATCTATCTGCAATATTAAGCTGATTTTTTTTTTAAATAACAGATTCTAACCAGTTGTCACAGCATTCAACTCAAGCATTTACATAACATTAGACTGTAACAGAACCATTTTGCCCCAACACTATGTTATTTCTCCCTGCAGGCTTTAAGTGTTAAAGTATAAAAGCTTTTCTCCTGAGCTCGGAGTTTGATCCCCAAATGCCCAAAAGCCCTACACATTTCTCCCTCTACTCTGTCTTCATGTTTCTGCTAAATATGAAAATAATTCAGAAAGAGTTTGGAAAAAATACACACAAAAAATGTTTGTCCTGCAGGTGACATCACCTCTCGCCTGACCTCTGACACTACTCAAGTGAGTGACCTGATCTCTCAGAACGTCAACATGTTCCTGAGGAGTATGGTTAAGGGCATAGGGTTCTTCATCTTCATGTTCGGGATGTCCTGGAAGCTGACTTTGGTCACCATCATAGGATTCCCCTTCATCGCAGTCATCTCCAAGGTGTATGGGGAGTACTACAAGGTATTCACTCTGATGTTTATATAAACACACGCACAAGCACGCACGCACACACATATACACACATACACACTTCACCCCAGCTCATGTATTCAATTGTAATACATTTTAAAAGCTTCATTCATACAGTATTTAGTTTGCACATTTTCTTGTTTAAATTTCCACGGTTCTCATCCTCAGAGATTGACCAAAGAGGTCCAGACTGCCCTGGCTCAGGCTAACCAGGTGGCCGAGGAGACCATTTCAGGCATGAAGACGGTACGCAGCTTTGCCAATGAGGAACAGGAGGCTGATTCATACTACGGCAGGCTACATGTCATGTTTCAACTGAACAAGAAGCAAGCATTGGCCTACGCCCTCTACATGTGGTCCAGTTGTGTAGGTATTACCATGTACATTAGGGCGGCAGGTAGCTTAGTGGGTAAGAGCGTTGTGCCAGTAACCGAAAGGTCGCTGGTTCTTATCCCCGAGCCGACTAGGTGAAAAATCTGTCGATGTGCCCTTAAGCAAGGCACTTAACCCTAATTGCTGATGTAAGTCGCTCTGGATAAGAGCGTCTGCTAAATGACTAAAATGTAAATGTAAAATGTACAGTAGCTACCATCTGTAAGACCGTCAATGTAAATAAGAATCAAGAATTTGTACTTGACTGGTTAAATACAAGTTAAATCAATAAAAGATAGCTCAGATGAGGACTGAACGTTGCTCTGACATACAACTGAGAGTTAAGGAGCTCCCTCATGTTTTATGTCTTGTGTTTTTTATTGCATCCACTGTATCTGCTAGCTATACCTTGGTTGTTGGGCACATTCAAATGTGTTTCTCATTGCTCCAGATCTCAGAACTTGTTCTTCAAGTGGCAATCCTCTTCTACGGCGGTCACCTGGTCATTACAGAGCAGATGAGTGGAGGGACCCTGATATCCTTCGTCATATATGAGTTGGAACTGGGAGAGTGCCTGGAGGCATGTCTGACTCATTCATATACATCTCTAACTGTACACATGACAACCACAACCTATCCCTTTAACCACCTTATATTACCATAGGTAGGACAGCTACCTAGCTAATTGTATTATCCTTGTCCCCTGTCTTGAATGACTTTTGTTACAGAGCATAGCATCGGTCTACACAGGTCTCATGCAGGGAGTGGGAGCAGCTGAGAAGGTGTTTGAGTATATGGACAGGGAGCCCAAACACCAACATGATGGGAAAGAGGTCCCCGACACCTGCAAAGGACTGGTCGAGTTTAAAGATGTCACGTTTTCCTATCCAACACGGCCCGAAACAGACATTCTAAAGGTATGTGTCAGCTGACCATTAGGTTTGGGCTCAAAGCTAGACTGATGAGTGGAGCTACAGACAGAAACACTGTTGTCAGGCAATTCTGTATTGTTTCATGCCAGTAGAAAGATTTTATATCATCCCCCTGCAGCAAAAGGCAGTCAGTACACTATCAATCATACAAGAAAGCTACTGTATTGATCATAGTCGATACTGTTAGGTTCTAAGTTCTGGTACAAATTATAGTCGTACTCCGAAAAAAGCTCATGCTAGATTTATTCGCCACACTGGGTCATACAGCTGCAAACACAAGCTCAAGTCTGGAACCTTTGGGACTCCTCCACACATCTCACTGTCTTATCAGTCAGGAGAACCCTTAAGTTTAGGGAGTGCACATTCTTGTTGCCTGCCGCAGTCCAATAGATAACTATCCATCTCATACACAAAGCAATAAGCAATCTATTCATAATATAATGATGCAAAACATATTGAGAGAATATAATTATATAAAACAGTAAAGCTATAAGACAGTGTTATAGCGCAGTAGTTTACAATCTATTAGATCTAACATATGGCTCCTATCTCACCCTTATGGAAACATTTTGTTTCAAAGACATGCCTTCTGTAATTAATACTCAGGGAGAAAAAGGTGTAGATTCACGCGCAGAGCACGGCAGGTGTTTATTTCACCTTCGCAAAAGGCAGGAATTGTGGTCGCAGGCAATGGTCATACACAGATTGGCAAACAGGCAGGAGAATCAAAAACTAGGACTGAAGGCTATAACTGGTTCTCACAAACAAGCTAGGAAAGGCTTAGTAGAGTTAAAACGAACAATACTTCACATGGCACAAACCGAATGAACTGAACTAAATAAGGAGCTGATGAGACCAGGTGAGTAACTGACACAGGTGAAATCAATGAACAAAAATTATAGACAGTGCTAGGTTCAAGAACACAAAGAAACAGGGCTACGTTCAAGAACACAAGGTTGACTAAGAAAATAAATACAGAACCTTACACCTCCTTTGTACTTTACCTCTAGCCAAATACAATTGCACATAGATCATTCCATCTAACCCATAACATGCTAATCACTATTGCTAGGCTACTTATATCATTATAAACATACTAAAATGTGCTCAAGTCAATTAGTCAGTTTCCAACAGTACCTTTTATCATGTCTAAACTTATATTAATGATATATGTATGCCTATGCCATGATGGTTAGGTATATACACTGCTCAAAAAAATAAAGGGAACACTTAAACAACACAATGTACGGTAACTCCAAGTCAATCACACTTCTGTGAAATCAAACTGCCCACTTAGGAAGCAACACTGATTGACAATACATTTCACATGCTGTTGTGCAAATGGAATAGACAACAGGTGGAAATTATAGGCAATTAGCAAGACACCCCCAATAAAGGACTGGTTTTGCAGGTGGTGACCACAGACCACTTCTCAGTTCCTATGCTTCCTGGCTGATGTTTTGGTCACTTTTGAATGCTGGCGGTGCTTTCACTCTAGTGGTAGCATGAGACGGAGTCTACAACCCACACAAGTGGCTCAGGTAGTGCAGCTCATCCAGGATGGCACATCAATGCGAGCTGTGGCAAGAAGGTTTGCTGTGTCTGTCAGCGTAGTGTCCAGAGCATGGAGGCGCTACCAGGAGACAGGCCAGTACATCAGGAGACGTGGAGGAGGCCGTAGGAGGGCAACAACCCAGCAGCAGGACTGCTACCTCCGCCTTTGTGCAAGGAGGAGCAGGAGGAGCACTGGCAGAGCCCTGCAAAATGACCTCCAGCAGGCCACAAATGTGCATGTGTCTGCTCAGACGGTCAGAAACAGACTCGATGAGGGTGGTATGAGGGCCCGACGTCCACAGGTGGGGGTTGTGCTTACAGCCCAACACCGTGCAGGACGTTTGGCATTTGCCAGAGAACACCAAGATTGGCAAATTCGCCACTGGCGCCCTGTGCTCTTCACAGATGAAAGCAGGTTCACACTGAGCATGTGACAGAGTCTGGAGACGCCGTGGAGAACGTTCTGCTGCCTGCAACATCCTCCAGCATGACCGGTTTGGCGGTGGGTCAGTCATGGTGTGGGGTGGCATTTCTTTGGGGGGCCGCACAGCCCTCCATGTGCGTCCACCAACGCCACGTTGCACCACAGACTGTCCAGGAGTTGGCGGATGCTTTAGTCCAGGTCTGGGAGGAGATCCCTCAGGAGACCATCCGCCACCTCATCAGGAGCATGCCCAGGCATTATAGGGAGGTCGTACAGGCACGTGGAGGCCACACACACTACTGAGCCTCATTTTGACTTGTTTTAAGGACATTACATCAAAGTTGGATCAGCCTGTAGTGTGGTTTTCCACTTTAATTTTGAGGGTGACTCCAAATCCAGACCTCCATGGGTTGATAAATTTGATTTCCATTGATAATTTTTGTGTGATTTTGTTGTCAGCACATTCAACTATGTAAAGAAAAAAGTATTTAATAAGATTATTTCATTCATTCAGATCTAGGATGTGTTATTTTAGTGTTCCCTTTAGTGTTTTTTTGAGCAGTGTATGAACAGATGGTTTGTCTTCTTCTTCCTCTTGGTGGTCCTCTGTAGCTCAGTTGGTAGAGCATGGCTCTTGCAACGCCAGGATAGTGGATTTGATTCCCAGGACCACCCATATGTAAAAAATTTATGCACGCACGACTAAGTCGCTTTGGATGAAAATATCCACTAAATGGCTTTTAAAAAAATCTTCTTCTTCTTCTTCAGAGTGTGTCCTTCACATTGCGGCCTGGGGAGGTGACAGCCTTGGTAGGGCCATCTGGCAGTGGAAAGAGCTCCTGTGTGGGGCTCCTAGAGAACTTCTACGCCCCACAACAAGGCCAGGTGCTGCTGGACGGCCGGCCAGTGCACACTTACCAGCATGGCTTCCTCCACTCGCGGGTCAGTGCTCCACACTACTCCTCTGGCATTTTAACTCCTTATTTACAATGTGTACAACTAAGCCTCTGCGTTAAATCGCAATTACTGTCTACCTGAGAAGTTTGCCATGAAATCTCCATATTCTGTCTCGTGCTAGATATCTTATTCCTTTCAACCACCAAGGGCATCAATGTTCATTTTAAGATGAAGACTGATAAAGATCCCCGTGCAGGAAGACTGAGCCTCTCTCTGTGTTGTTGTTGCAGGTAGCACTAGTGGGCCAGGAGCCTGTCCTGTTCGCCCGTTCTGTAGAGCAGAACATAACCTATGGACTGACTGACATCCCTATGGAGGCTGTGGTGCAGGCAGCCACCGAGGCAAACGCACACGACTTCATCACCGGTCTAACCAATGGCTATGACACAGGTGACATTAATGCTATTGACTAAACTAGTGGTTCCCAACCTTTTTCGGTTACTGTACCACTACCTGAATTTTGATCTGTCCAGAGTACACCTGAAGTACCCGCTCATGTGCATTTTACCAGTAAGCCTATGGTTTCATGAGTCTTCTCAAGTACCCCCTGTGGATAGGCCAAGTACCCCCAGGGGTCCTAGTACCCCTGGTTGGGAACCATTGGCCTAAGCTGTTGGAGTGAAATGTAAAAAAAAATTGCATCTTAGGAGTTAACTAAAAACTGCAAAATGTTATGTTTACTGCAACATACTGTATGAACATTGGCCGAATAATGTTTTGAGTAACACAAAAGAATAGCCTCTCCTCACTATTTTCATATGATTTTGCATTTCTATTTTAAGATCTCTAATGCAATTAAATTGTTCTCGTTCCTCTCTTAGGAGTGGGTGAGAAAGGGACCCAGTTGTCAGGGGGGCAGAAGCAGCGGGTGGCCATCGCACGGGCGCTCATCCGCAACCCACATGTTCTCATCCTGGACGAGGCCACCAGTGCACTGGATGCAGAGAGCGAACATGTTGTAAGTAGACAGGCCAAATCAGTGTTCTGTGACTGTGTTCTATAATCTGTGTTTAATCAGATCAAGTCGTGAATAATAGATAAAGATACAGTATGGCTTTAGCGAGGAAGAGCGTGTATTCTGTAATATCCAGCTCCTCAAGTTTCATGACAATAACCTAGTTCTCTAAATGCAGTCTAATATTATTATAACAACTCTCAGCTGCTGGTGTTTTCTCTACTCTGTCTTTATTCAGATCAAGTCTTGAACTATACTAGATACTATTAACCCTGGAGAATCATTTTTTAGTATAAACAAACTCTCTGCATTGTTACTATGCTGGCTTAAAAAGGTCAGTATTTGTGACGAGGTGTGAATGAAGGAGTCAGGCGCAGGAGGTAAAACACAGAAGTCCAGAGTTTATTCCGTTTACATAAATAAAATGCACCCAGCGTCAAAATGAAACTATAACAAGGGAAAATATACCACCTTGGCCAATACAAATGGAAGCGTAGCTCAACCGAGCTACTCCCTCTCACAAAGACAAGGGGAACAGAGGGAACACTTATACACATACTAATTAGGGGAATGAGCACCAGGTGTGTGTGATTGACAAGACAAGACAAGTGGAGTGATGAGAATGGGATCGGCAGTAGCTAGTAAGCCAGTGACGACGAACGCCAAAACCTGCCCTAACAAGGAGGGGAGGCAGCTTCGGCGGAAGTCGTGACAGTATTATTATTGAATCTTGGACATATTCTCTTTATCGGTTGTCTCGAATTTGTTGCCACATTATCTTGTTTTCTGAATGCTATCTCATAATATTTGACTTTTAGTGTAGCTTAGGATCCTCTCTCTGTTCTCTCTCCCCAGGTCCAGCAGGCTCTGAACAACATCATGCGTCAGCACACAGTGCTGGTGATCGCCCACCGCCTCAGCACAGTGGAGAGGGCAGACAACATCATAGTCATCGACCGCGGCTGTGTGGTGGAGCAGGGACCACACAGCCAACTCATGGCCAAGGGGGGGCTCTACTGCAAGCTGGTGCAGAGGCAGGTCCTGGGCATCGAGACGAGGGTAGAGGTCCTTAACCCCCCAGAGGTGGACGTCTGAGAGTGGTAGTCAGCGGAGGCAGAGCGGACATGAGAGCAGCAGTGCCAGAGAGTGGAAATGTGAAGCACCACGCTACTGAGAGAGGTTCCAGGGCTTTATTGGTACCTAACACTGACTGACTGAGCAGTGCCTCGAAACCAAGGCATTACATTACCCTAGATTTTTTATTTGCACATTTGGTTGAATAGATTCAACTGAAATCTATTGAATAATCAATAAGAGTATACGTTTTGTATAAGATTTGAGTAGTCATTTGACCAGCTCTTCTGGACATGAATGAGCAACACAGTAATTAGTTAATCCCAGTGGTGATATTACACTGCGCAAAAATATAAACAGAACATGTAAAGTGTTGGCCCCATGTTTCATGAGCTGAAATAAAAGATCCCAGAAATTGTCCATACACACAAAAAGCGTATTTCTCTCAAATTTTGTGCACAAATTTGTTTACATCCCTGTTAGTGAGCATTTCTCCTTTGCCATAATAATCCATGCACCTGATTAAACAGCATGATCATTACACAGGTGCACCTTGTGCTGGGAACAATAAAAGGCCTCTCTAAAATGTGCAGTTTTGTCACACAACACAATGCCACAGATGTCTCAAGTTTTGAGGGAGCGTGCAATTGGCATGCTGACTGCAGGAATGTCCACCAGAGAAGTTGCCAGAGAATTGAATGTTCATTTCTCTACAATAAGCTGCCTCCAACGTCGTTTTTGAGAATTTGGCAGTACATCCAACCGGCCTCGACTGCAGACCACGTGTAACCACCCCAGCCCAGGCCCTCCACGTGGTCCTCTGTAGCTCAATTGGTAGAGCATGACGGTTGTAATGCCAGGGTAGTGGGTTCGATCCCCGGGACCACCCATACGTAAAGATGTATGCACGCATGACTGTAAGTCGCTTTGGATAAAAGCGTCTGCTAAATGGCATATTATTATTATTATTATCCGGCTTCTTCACCGGCGGGATCGTCTGAGACCAGCCACCCGGACAGCTCATGGAATTGTGGGTTTGCACAACCAAAGAATTTCTGCACAAACTTTCTGCGTGCTCGTCGTCCTCACCAGGGTCTTGACCAGACGGCAGTTCGACGTCGTAATCGACTTCAGTGGGAAAATGCTCACCTTCGATGGCCACTGGCACGCTGGAGAAGTGTGCTCTTCACGGATGAATCCAGGTTTCAACTGTACCGGCAAGATGGCAGACTGCGTGTATGGTGTCGTGTTGGCAAGCGGTTTGCTGATGTCAACGTTGTGAACAGAGTGCCTCATGGTGGCGGTGGGGTTATGGTATGGGCAGGCATAAGCTATAGAGAACGAACACAATTGCATTTTATCGATGGGCAATTTGAATGCACAGAGATACCGTGATGAGATCCTGAGGCCCATTGTTGTGCCATTCATCCGCCGCCATCACCTCATGTTTCAGCATGATAATGCATGGCCCCATGTCACAAGGATCTGTACACAATTCCTGGAAGCTAAACATGTCCCAGTTCTTCCTTGGCCTGCATACTCACCCATTGAGCATGTTTGGGATGCTCTGGATCGACATGTATGACAGCGTGCTCCAGTTCCCGCCAATATCCAGCAACTACGCACAGCCATTGAAGAGGAGTGGGACAACATTCCATAGGCCACAATCAACAGCCTGATCAACTCTATGCGAAGGAGATATGTCGTGCTGCATGAGGCAAATGGTGGTCACACCAGATACGGACTGGTTTTCTGATCCACACCCCTATTTTTTTCCCCTAAGGTATCTGTGACCAACAGATGCAGATCTGCCCCAGTCATGTGAAATCCATAGATTAGGGCCTAATGAATTTATTTCAGTCCATAGATTAGGGCCTAATTTATTTATTTCAATTGACTGATTTCCTTATATGAACTGTAACTCAGTAAAATCTTTGAAATTGTTGCATGTTGCGTTTATATTTTTGTTCAGTGTATGAATATCGTAAATATCATTGATTCTATGACGTACAAAACAGTAATAGTATTGTGATACTTTATTTCTAATTGCAATATTAGGTGGAAATGGTAAAGCTATCTCTGTACAACTAGGCCTTTCTGTATCTGGTTAATATGTAAATGTGTACTGTATACAGGACAGAGAGGTGCCTTCAGTGGATGAGAATGTGCAGACTGTATTTATTCTATGGAAATCAATGGGAAGTGCAATGTCTTGAAACTACATGACACTATCATTGCTGAATAGATGATATTTCATGTTGATGCTGTCCAATACTTGATTTTGCACAATTAAACGTGAATGTACTAAATTAACTAAGATATGACTGCAACTAGGCTACTGAAAATATGTTGGTTGTTGTTGCCTGTTGGTTTTATTGTAGCAGAGGCCTCTTCGACTGTATTACATTCAGTATGACGTCATATCACCACCTCCAATCCTGTGCCAGAGACCCACAGCTTCCGGTTACAGGCCGTAGCTTTCTCGGGTTTTCATCCAAGCTGTGTATTCTTCGGAGCGCGTGAGAGGGAAGGCGATTCAACGGAGGGGATCTGCGGGGAAGAAAGAATCGAAGACAGATGTGACAGAAATGTCTGGTTTTTGGAACAAGTTTAGCTCGTACTCGATGACGCAGCTCAATGAAATGCTTGAAGATGATGACAAACTTAACAAAATTGTCCAAGAAATGGAAGAGGTAAGCCACTGTAATACATTCCCGTATCACTTCAGTTTACTGCCGCAATGTTTACATTTTTCAAGCCTTTTGTTTTGCTTTCGCCAGCATTTAGGGTAGGTGCAGGGTAGGCAACTAAGCAGTTAGGGAAAGTCGAGAATTAGCAGAACTATATATAGCATTCTTTCCAATACATTGGACAGATACAGTAGCCTACCGTCAATGTCAGGTTTTATTTTTTACTGTTTGAAGACCTTTAGAATGTTGCTGTCGAACTCGAAGTAGCAAACCTTCCTGGAACTCGACATGTTTCGCAACATTGTTGGCAAAAAATAAACAAACACTGTTACATTGTCAGCGATTGACAGTGACAACAACATAACAATATTGCTGCAGTTAAAATGTATAGTATCCATGCTTGTCTTGGCAGCAGACTGATCAGCAATATATTTTGTGAAGAACGTTACTTGGAGATGGACATGAAAAGCGCAAGAACACTTCCTCTCTGGGAGTGTCAACGGGAATTATGGTTGGTGACAATGCAATAGTACCTATGTTGCCAAGCTGCAGTAATGACACGACAGACAGTTCAGGAGGTCAGAGGTTCTGTTTGTGAACTTGTGTTCACACTTATCTTTGTTTAAATTGACGCAATGCCAAGGTCAAGGTCATGCACTTGTTTTACAAAGATAACGTTTTATCTTGTATAACCAGCTGCCTTTTTAGCCCAAAGGAACCCTGAATTAAGTTTGGTAGTAAATACATAACACAGCTGGCTATAAAGTCACTGATGACAACAATCATGAAATTGTCAGCTGCTGAATGAACTTTACTGTCAGCTGTGCTGAGTCATGGCACTCGGCTTAACAACACAGAATTACTTTAAGTATGGTAGTTTATCTTTAATATAAACTTATCCATTGCTTATTATTGATGCTTGCTTATTCCACAGACTAAGTTCTTAGAGTTCTCCTTCTTGGTCAGGATTTCTAGTAGCACACCTAAGACAAGAACAAGCTGTCCCACTGTATGTGAGGGTGAATTACATAGTTGTTCCTAGACATGAATTCCATAGAATTCTCCTTTCCCCTACAGATGGATCTACGTAAGCTGTAAGGTCTTTAACTTACCTTGTAAAATAATCAAGGAAACCAGCGAGCATTGATTTGCATGTATCTCGATGTGCTATCACCAGAGAACAGCTTTTATAGTCCCAGTTCCATTTTTAATCCTCCCTGTATCTGATTCTAGCTGCCAATGGTTTCATTTTCCTCAGTATGATGCAGTTTGTGGTAGTGGAGTGGAATGCCAAAGGGCTTTATATCACAGCTGATTGCTGTAGGTTACTAACCATAGACCTACATCATTGCAGGTTACATAGGGTGGTTATTAATAGACCTGGCAGTACAGAGTAGTTAGTCATAGGGTGCATCCCAAATGGCACTCTATTCCTAAATAGTGCACTACTTTTGACCAGAGCCCTATGGGCCGTGGGGAAAAGTAGGGAATAGGGTGCCTTTTGAGACACAGCATATTGTGAGAAGTGCTCCTAATACCTGGAAATGCAGTCCTGACTAACTCAGGACACACCTTATTAAGTAAGTTGGGAAGTTCTGCACCTTTATTATGTGTGTGTTGACTGTAAAGGGACAACGGTGGAACTGCTGGCTGTCAAAGCTCTGAACGTACACCAGGGATATTATTTCCTTTTAACTGGCGACCCACAGGCCAGATCCGGCCCGTTTATTAATTTAGACTGACCCTTTGATCAATTTTGAACATTAATAAGAGATCTGCAAAAGAATCCCCGCCAACATCCGACTTTAGTGCCAAAATGACAAGTACTATTGTGGTTGTCTATAGTGTGGCTTCTAGTGGTTTTTATTGGTTTCTAGCGTGTATGTGGCATGTTATTCTGTTTTCTTCATATGAATTTGGCTCTAGTATTTGAGTGGTTTAAGCTATTAAATATTATGACCCCATTCCTGAAAGCTACGACTCTTAGGAACACGTACAGTGCATTCAGAAAGTATTCAGACCCCCTTGACGTTTTCCACATTTTGTTACATTATTTTTTCCCTCATCAATCTACACACAATACCCCATAAGGAGAAAGCGAAAACAGGTTTTTAGAAATTTTTGCAAATATATAAAAAACAGCAACACTGAAATACCTTATTTACATAAGTATTCAGACCCTTTGGTATGATAATCAAAATTGTGCTTAGGTGCATCCTGTTTCCATTGATCATCCTTGAGATGTTTCTAGAACTTGATTGGCGTTCACCTGTGGTAAATTCAATTGATTGGACATGATTTGGAAAGGCACACACCTGTCAATATAAGGTCCCACAGTTGACAGTGCATGTCAGAGCAAAAACCAAGCCATGAGGTCGAAGGAATTGTCTGTAAAGCTCAGAGACACAGATCTGGGGAAGTGTACCAAAACATTTCTGCAGCATTGAAGGTCCCTAAGAACACAATGGCCTCCATCATTCTTAAATGGAAGAAGTTTGGAACCACCAAGACTCGTCCTATTTTTGGTTGCACCTCGACTCACGTTGGTTGAGCGCCCTCCGCTTCTTTCCTAATTACTTTGAGCAACATTTCATTTTAAGAAAGGTGCTTTATTGGTGTGTTTGCGTTGCTTTTTTGTACAGTTCTTCCGAAGAATAATCGCATGTGGAAAATGTCCGCCCACCTGCAATTAACCTCTTTTA